AGCGAGTACGAGAAATTGCTCAGAGCAAGTAACGTTTATTTAAAGTTTTTCCTTAATTACATAATTTAGAAATACCTCTACTCTTTGCAATTGAAAGAAAATAAATAAAATAAAATATTCTTGTCAGAAGTGGGATTCGAACCCACGCCTACAGAGTAGACTGCGACCTGAACGCAGCGCCTTAGACCACTCGGCCATCCTGACACATGGGATGAGCAGGCCAAAAGCACGTTTTACCCAACTCGCGTGCTCAATCATTTGCTTAGCTCTATAGTTGCTATAAAATTTTATAGTAACAAGCTATAATGTAGCTTAACTTCTGGTTTTATGCAAATTATTATTCAACTTTCTTGCTAGCTGGGTGGTAACTTTGAGAAATATAAACTTTGTCTCTGTATTCTCAGGTAATAATTATAAACGTTAATTTGCGGGTATTACAGCGCTAATTGGAAGTTAAGTAACAAGGACTGTGCAATTTTATGACGGAATAATTGCAAATTAAATCGATTCGATCAGCTGCACTTTGTACAAATGCCGACAATCTGTTTACAATGTCAGTTTCAATACAGATAAATCTTATCTCTCCGCGTTTCTTTTTTTGGGTTGGGCGCCTAACAAAAGAGAATAAGAATAAGGCCTTTTTTAAGAACTGCGCCATGGCGCTAATATCTATATCTTTGCGGACTAACTTCCTAAAAACACAATAAAAAAAAAAAACGTAGCTGGAAAAAGAGGTCAAGACCCGCAGCATTCCTCGATTCGGGCCAAAAAGCGCTAATAATAATCCGGTTGAAGTGGGCGTGGCACTAGCCATGGGAACCGAGAAAAACCAAACCGAACCCTTCTCATTAGGCGGCGGCCAACTCTTTTGTTGTCTTTTAATATTTCGTATTATTTATTATGACTGCTCGCTGCGAGAGTTTACATTTTCCTTTTTTCTGGTCTTTGGAAAATGGATATTTAATGAGTTTGCTAGCCAGCAGCAGCAGCAGCACTTGACGACAGTTTTCCCCAAAGGAAGTCGTAAAAAAATGTTCCTAGTGAAAGAATTCAAATTAGATTTTGACACTGTTCAGTAAGATATTCGTACTTTTAGCCAAAGAATAGATGGTCTTTGTGTATGCCTTGCCTTTGACTTGACGCCGACAAGAATATATGTATATTCATTCTCATAGTTTCAAATAGATATGGTCAGAGAGACAGAAGGCAGTGAGCCCACAGACATATGTCTGTGTGTTTGCCAACGGACGTAATTTGCATTTGCGCATTTTTCCGCTAATTATTTGTTTATCAAAGGAAAATAACCAAAAACCGAAGGAGCGAGAGCACAACTCGATGTGGAAAATTCAAATTTCAATTTCAATTCGTATTGAAAAATGTTTTGACAAGCTACGTGAAATGATGTTTTTTTTTTGCCATTGAACTTGTTGCCTTTTTTCCTTTCCTGTAATATGGCTAAAATAAGCAATTATATACTGCAGTAGGGGTGTTGAAGGGGAAGAGTGAAACCCAGTTTAGTTCCAAGGCAAAAGAATCGCTTGATAAGTTATACTCATTTATAATCATCGAAATGGGTCAACCAATATGCTCAAGTCAAGCCACAATTGTGCACGCAATTTTTATTCATTTAGAATGCATCAAAAACCCATTAAAATGAGGGAAAGATTTGCCAATGGAAATTTACTAAGAATTTTCGTATGAAAAAGTGTTTCAAATGTGGCTGTATTTACTTTTCCTTATAAATCCCATTAAGATTTCTTCATTAAAAATTTCTATTTAAAGTTACCTCTTTTTATTTAATTTCTATATATTTTTCTTGAATATTTTCAAGTGTATTTCCAATTCTCTTATGACATTATTGCACCAAAGGTGTAGAAATGCCAGTTGGCTTTGGTAATTTAAAACTGACACAATTTAAAAAGCAAAATAACAGTCAAGTAAAGTTTACTTTTCCCTTTCTCTTTCCCAGTTTTGTTTGTAAACAAAGCAAATCAAAGCTGACACAGTTATATTCCGATTCTTATTCTGATTCCGATTCCAGGGCAGGAGCTCAATGCCATCTGGCTGGGTCAGTTCCGCTGATTCTCAATATATTTATATTATATTTATGCAAATGCAGGGAATTGCGGAAACTGGCTGTGTCAACATTCGAAACGGGAGACGACGACAGCATTTTTTCGCACAAGGTCTGGACGGGCTTTATAGCAGTTATCAGCTGGTTTCGAGTGGGGATTCCTCTGGTCATAAACCTGTATGAGTGTATTTGTCCCATTAATGACCCGCCAAACAAGCCACCTCCTCACGGTCAGACATTTGATGAATGACTCCTCCTCGTGGCAGTGCAGCCATGTTCACTTCGACGTGATAAGCCGACGTTTGCGGCACGCCTAATGCACTTTAATGCCCCCTTTGATTACCCAATATCATGTGAATACAGTGGAAATACAAGTATATAAGTACATACAAAATTGTTATTGCGATCGAAGGCAGAGGCTTTTGTCTTTTATTGAAAAACAATCCTCAGAGTGGTGTGAAAAATTGATTGCTTAACCAGACCAAACCTATAATAAACTCAAGAAGTGGCAATGATCTTTGTTTTCAAATGAGTAATATAACAAAAATTTATTTGGTCAAAATATATTAACTATACCTCAAGTTTATACTCTTAAATATTTATAAAAATTTTCTATAAGTAAAAAAAAAAATACGAAAGGCAAAAAAGATCTTGTCAGAAGTGGGATTCGAACCCACGCCTACAGAGTAGACTGCGACCTGAACGCAGCGCCTTAGACCACTCGGCCATCCTGACTATGAAAGTAACGAGTGTGAATTTACACTTTGTTACCAAGAAAATGATTCTAATAAATTGATTAATTAAGAAAATTAGAGAATAAATATAGAAAACCTAATTATTTATATTATTGTTGAGGGGAGACATTATATAGATCAAAGAAAGCAACTACTTCTCCATTTCCTTATTTTCCATTGCATTGGTCAGGTGGAGTCGAAGGCCAAACACTATCACTACCACTAGCGATGTTAACACTGGGAAGGCCGCGCACAGAATGAGGTCAGAGCGACAGCAGCGCCCTGTATTTATAGTCTCCGAGGAGAGAGTACAACAGAGAAAGTGAGAGAGCGAACTAAAGAGATACCTCTAGAGATAGACAGAGAAAGAGAGGGAGAAATTGATATTTCTATACATACACAGAGAGAGATAGACATTTCGCAAACTATATAGACATAGAGGGAGAGAGAAAGAGAGGGATACACACAGACAGTGAGAGAGAGAGGGAGAGAGAAATAAATATTTCAATTCGACTGTTGATACTGATCAAGAATATATATATTACTACTTCGGTGCGTTGCAAGCTTCTAAATTCCCGGCAAGGGTATAAAAAGAATATATATGTCAATAAATATATAAATAAAAAATTATTTAAACTTAAGAAAAAGGCAAAATGTTTCAAAAATATATCTTGTCAGAAGTGGGATTCGACCCACGCCTACAGAGTGGACTGCGACCTGACTAAAGTAACGAGAGCCAAATACAATTTTCATACAATGCTAATTAATTCTTAAGTATTTCTAAATTAAGTAAATTAAAAGTTGGCATGAGACTCGTTTTACATTTATGTTCGTGCAGAAATTTCATAGAAGTAAACAGCAGATTTTATTCGAGTCTCCTAACTCTAAAAAAAATACAAAGATTACATTTTGATATGTAAACCAAATGTAAATTTTAGAAAATACAAAAATAATATTTAGAAAAATTATTAAAAGCAAAAAGTTCTTGTCAGAAGTGGGATTCGAACCCACGCCTACAGAGTGGACTGCGACCTGACTAAAGTAACGAGAGCCAAATACAATTTTCATACAATGCTAATTAATTCTTAAGTATTTCTAAATTAAGTAAATTAAAAGTTGGCATGAGACTCGTTTTACATTTATGTTCGTGCAGAAATTTCATAGAAGTAAACAGCAGATTTTATTCGAGTCTCCTAACTCTAAAAAAATACAAAGATTACATTTTGATATGTAAACCAAATGTAAATTTTTAGAAAATACAAAAATAATATTTAGAAAAATTATTAAAAGCAAAAAGTTCTTGTCAGAAGTGGGATTCGAACCCACGCCTACAGAGTAGACTGCGACCTGAACGCAGCGCCTTAGACCACTCGGCCATCCTGACTTGTTTCCGTCGGGTGCCAAAATTCTAGCTAAGCAGCGGCCGAAAAAAATAAAGCAAACAAAGCAAAACAAATCAAAGTCAAGAAAACAATTGTTTTTGGCTGATTGTTTACTTTTGTATGCCATAATTAGTTCGATGACCGGCCAGCTTTGACCGCTAAATAGACAATGATCAACGTCCGCAATAGCTAAAAGATTAATGTCCGCGTTACCCTGGACGTCCTTTTTACCTCGTGTGCCTTCGTGTGTTTATGGATTATATTTTCTATATGTTTCAGTAGGAATAAATAACACCTTGGTGGTCAAAACGGAGAGTAGTGAGGCTATAAAAATGACTTACAAATTGCAGCAAATAGTCCTGATTCTGGTTGGTGGATACATTCAAATGATTGCTAAAGATTTGGGTTTGATACGATTAATCAATAATTATTAATCCCAGTATTCCATTTCCAAGAACATTCTGTCCACAACTTAATTAAACAAAACTTATTTTTAGTACTACTAATTACAAAGGAAATCCAAGAGTGAATTATCTTTGCTTACTTTGTTTAGGTCTCTTACTCTTTACAAGATTCGAAAATTATTTTAGTTATCAAATTCTAAGGCTTAAAAAAATAAATACCAATTTAAAAAAAAACTATTTTGACTTATAACTTATAGGAATATGTAGTATACATAAATCTAAAATTCGTAGGATGTCAAAGTATATTCGAAAAAGACGATTTTATTTATGCTACCAATTTCTATGAATTTGCATTTATAAACATAGGATAAGCAATGTGTTTTATTTGCCTGTTTTATTTGTATTTTTGATGTTTGGTATTTTGGGTTAAAAGTTTATTCTGATTTTGTTTTATGTTTGTCTATAAATTCTTCATCTTCTTCTTCTCCTTCATCTCTTTCACTACTTGCAACATCATCCTCGATTATCTTAGGACTCTCAAGACTCGAAAGTTCTAACTTGGTGGGGTTTTTAAGGTTTTTCGTTTTTTTCAAGGGCCTGAAATGATGTGAAAGATTAAGAATGGCATAGTTTACATCATCTCCTACATTTGCTCCCATTGGATCACATACCAAGCGAGCTGCACCACGACGAGGAATCGTTGACTTGTTCCTTTTGTTTTGCTTCCGACCCATTTTCTTTTTTGAAATTGAACCACTTCCTATCGACTTCTTACGGGACGCCGCAGGATCCGTTGAACACTCCAAGTTGTCATCTTTTATTGCTTTAATCTTTGCCATGGGGAAGCGATATCGCCACTGCATAAATTCCCTGGATGGCATCAACACGAAGAAGTTATGCCAGCTACTACAGCGGACGGCCACCAAGATGGTGGCCAGGACATTTGGCAATTGTTTGGGATGACGGGTCAGGTTGAAGAAGTAGCGATTGGTCCACACCTTAGTCCGGATCACGGTTACCATGAAACAGTTGAGCTTAGGACTGGCGGAAAATGGGTTACTGCGAATGGACTTCAGCAAAGGAATGATTCCTCCAGGGAAGACTTCATTCTTCTTCTGAATCTCCTTGCCTTCGGAATTGGAGTTCTTCATGATTGGGGATTTATTCTAATGACAGCAGATGCTATATATAATTTTCCACCCAGACGACAATTAACACAAGGCCAACTAAAGTTCCATTTGCCTTTGAACTTGACCCCTCGATTAATCGAATCGAATTCAATCGAATGCGAGTTGCAAGCTGGAGTTTTTTTTTTCTTTTCCAGGGCTGGAGAGTATGCCAAAATCATATATCATTGCCCAGCTATTGACACGCCCCGTCAATATCAATAATTGCTAAATACCCAGCATGATTAATGTCTGGCATCTTTGGCTCCGAATCGCTCGAAAAGCTCGAATCGGGCAATTTGCATAATTGCAATTTATTGTAAGTCCGTGTGCAAATATGCAAGAAATCTGCAACTCTTTAAGGCAACCAAAAGGCCGACGGCTTTTCACGATTCGCATTTGGATTTGTTTAATCTCTGACTGTCTGTCGTCTCAGTATTTCCCCCCTGTCATATGCAAATGGCTCCGTCTCTGATTGTGACTCCAAAAGTAAGCTTCACTAATTGCTGGCACCCCCCGAGATCTGAGAACGAGAAACTCTTTTCAGTGTCAATCGCTTGGCAATCAATCACTGTGTGTGCACTCCATCTGACATTGCTGCTAATTAGTTGTCACAGTTTGTTAACATGTTGCAAATGTTGTAACATCAAATGTTGGTACTATACCTTTGAAGGGTATTATTTATTAAGTCAGAAGTTTGTCAAGCAAAGATGGATCCTTTAAAATATATATTCTTGATCAACTCCAGAGGCCGAGTTAATCCAGCCCTATTCATACACTCGTCCCTCTATTACTACCTTTTATTTTTGAATATATTTAAATTAAACTTCCTAAATATTACTTCAATAGCAGTCTTTTATCATTCAGATGGATAGAGATGGACCGGACTTCTATATATACAAAATCTGCCATAAAAGCAATCAGTACATTAATGGAAACAAACTATAGCTTCCCTGATTTTCAACATATTTCCATATATACTGTGATAAATTATAAGATTATATACTTTTATCATTATTTTTTAAAGATCGGAAGACAATACCTATTTCTGACATGTTTCTAGATTCTTAAACTTTCCAAAATCAAATATGAATCTTTTGTAATATAAACTCTTTAAAGAATTGTATTCTTATAGAGATCACCTTGTAAATAGTTATATTTTTTCACTAAAAAACTCTCAAAATTTCCATCTATAAGATTAATTTTCCCAAAATGACCCCCAGTTATGTTCTCTTTACCGAGTTCAAGGGCAATTCCAATTCCGACGACTATTTTTCAGTCTCAATCTTGCAACCCACAGTTTTCTAGACAAATAAAGCCAATGCCTAAGATTCATTCACGTTTCCAAGTAATTTAACTAAAACGAATTTCGCTATATACTGATGCCCATATGTGTGTATATATTTATTACAGATTAACCCGAGAATTAAATGGCGTGTGGCTTTTATGGTCGCTGGTCCCACGCAAAGTCACGAAAATTGGTCGCAGATTTCTCATTGTCGGTGGAGAATTCTCATTTCGCTCAGCGACCACGTACAACTTTTCAAGTTCAACGATGGAAAATTAAAATGCTTTGTTTAACCGATTTTTAAAATCAGTGAAAAAGAGCGTGGGAAGAGGCGTACAGGTAGAAATCTTAAAACAAGATATATATTATATGCTCATGTTTCCAATTCATAAATGAGTGTAAATATTATATTTATATATCGAAATTTAATAAAACGAGAACATTTTTCGGTCATTTATTATACAAAACAGACCACAGAATTGTAAAAACGTTAAGGAACGTATATTGCATTATATTATAAATATTTTACTCTTAATAAATAAGGTTTTGTGGTGTAATAATTTTTGTAAATCGTTACCAACTCTTTTTGGTTAATTTTAAAAGGTCAACAAAAGAGTGAAAATATATTTAAAGTTTTTTTTAAGCTTGTTGTTGTTTTTTACTCATGACAAGTGGGTCAAAAGAAAAAACAGAAAAAGGTGTAGGAGGGAAAGAAGTAAAAAATGTGCATTGGCACGTTCCAAGAAATTGCATTGCAAAAAAAACTGCACACAGCAAGTTGTAGGTTTTTATTTATTGTACCGCTTTGGCTTTTGTTTACTCACGCATATAAAAAAATATATACGTATGTATATACATATAAACTTATATAATGTTGTAATCGTTGCAGTTTCCTGAAAAGCCAACACAACAGCAATAAAGCGAATTCATTGATAAAAGCCCAAACAACAAAACGGACAAGTGTGCAAAAAAGAAGGGTAAATAATTACAACAAAAACAGCGATAAAAGTGACAGATAGTTAAGGCCAAGATAACAGCTGTTAAGTGGTAAAAAAAGTAAAAATAAAGCTATAAAATCGTTGACAGAGCCAGAGAGTAACAGAGAATAGCTTAACAGCAAATCAAGAGAATAACACCAAAAGTGATAACAGTGATAAACAGCTGTGCTGTTAAAAAGTATCTATGGCAACAGAATAAATAAAAACAATAACAGCAAAGAGAACAACAGTGGCAGTGAGAGCAGGAGGCACTGTAATGATAGTGGGAGTATTTAACAGCATTGAAAGATAAATAGAGAAGAGCTGATACATTAACAGCTGTTAGCAGAGAGCATCTGTGAGATTAACAGCTGAGAGCAAGATACACTGTAATGTTAGTGAGAGTATTTAACAGCATAAATCAAGAAGAAGAACTGAAACATTAACCGCTGTTATCAGAGCGCTCAACACAAAGAGAGCAGCTGTGAGATTAACAGCTGAGAGCAACAGGTTTCTCTCGCTCCCCCGCCCCTGAATCGATCATGAACCACGATCAGCCGCCGTCGACTGCGCAGTCGGGAAATAAATACGCGCCTGGAAGAAGGCTAGCCGCGAGGCAAACGCTCCGACTGGCCATTCCCAAGCAGCAAGGTGACCCCCTGAGTAGCAATCCTCCCCATCCAGTTGGGGTATTCCGTCCCTCGCCATCCCAACTGCCACCTGCACCGATCCTAAAGAGAGTGCCCGCGGGATGCATCAATTCCAGCAGTGGAATACCCAAATCTGCCTCTCCCCTGGAATCCCATCATCTGCCCAATGCCACGCCTACCCGCTTAAGCTATGGCCTTCCAGGAGCAGGATCGGGTGGAGGGAGTGGTTGTTCCAGTGCCGCCTCGGCCTCCACCAACTTCCTGGGGGTTCGCAAACCGAGTTTGACCTTGAACTCATCGGATATTAGGAACAACAACGATCTATTTGCCTTTCCCAAGGACATGTCGCCCGTTTTGAGTGGTGAGTAGAGAAACTTTTATAAACAATTATTTAATCACATTAAATGCATAAATTGGTTTCCATAGATTTAAGATGACCAAGGTGTTCCATTTCGTTTGTTAATATTTTTAGATGTGGATTATCTTATACAAGTAGCCTATTTTGATTTATTTGAATCAGCTCCTTAACGACGAGGAAGCTTTGACTTGTTCTTTTTGATTTCCTTCCGGCCTCTTTTCTTTTTTGAAACTAACTGACTTCTTAACGACTTCTTTTGGAATGCTCTAGGATCAGTAGGACACTCCAAGTAGTCACCCTTCTTTGCTATAATCGTTGCCATGGGGAAGCGATAACGCAACAGCATAAAGTCCCTGGATGGCATCAACACGAAGAAGTTGTGCCAGCTACTACAGCGGACGGCCACCAAGATGGTGGCCAAGACCATTGGCAGGTGTCTGGGATGACGGGACAGGTTGAAGAAGAAGCGTTTGGTCCACTTCCTAGTCCGGATCACGATTACCATGAAACAGTTGAGCTGAGGACTGGCAGAAAATGGATTACTGCGAATGGGCTTCAGCAAAGGAATAATTCCTCCAGGGAAGACTTCATTCTTCTTCTGAATCTCCTTGCCCTCGGAATTGGAGCTCTTCATAATTGGGGATTTATTCTAATGACAGCAGATGCTATATATATTTTTCTACCCAGACGACAATTAACACAAGGCCAACTAAAGTTCTTTACAATTGTTATTTATGGATGTATTTATACCGTTGGATTAAGATTGTTATACAGCAGAAGTTATGAATCAAAACTAAAATAAAACAGCAATATCATAGTTAGGACTCTTTCCTTTTAAGAGATTTTAAAACCCTAGCGAATATTGTTTTATAATTTGTATACAATCTTATAATATATCTTCCCCAGAACATTCCCACTCACCCATGTTTACGGATATATCATCATCGCATAGTAATGGATCTCCAACGCATTACCACCAAATTGGCAGATTGTTCAGCTTAAGTCCTTCAAGCATCAGGAGTTATGGAAATGTAAGTGCTTTACTTTTTTAAATATTAATAAATATAAGAAGTTTTTGTAAACTTAAATCTTTAAACATTGTTGGAGGGTATTCCAAGCACGAATATAAACTGGCAGTTGAGACTTTATTCGGGACCTTTTGGCTTTATAAATTCACACTCGGAATAATTGCCAAAGGCTATTTATAAATAAGCAGAGCGAGCAAAGGTCATGACTCACTTTGGAGCTCTTCACTGGCTTTATGGTGTCCATAAACTCTCACTCAAGCTTTTGTTTCCCCTTCATTCTTTGCTTTTTCCCACCCCCTTTAACGCGTTTTAGGCTCATTCTGATTATAGTTTTGCATACACTGTAACTAATTACCCAATATAATATTAAATATAGGTGGGACTACGACAATAAGGATCATATACATGGTAACATAGTATAACTCTTGGAATAATAGTTGTATAATCCATAAATCATCTATTTAGGCAACTTTTCCATTTGGAGATGTACAAAATATTGATACTAGATTATTATTTTGTAATCTCTTTACTTTAAAATTACAAAAATAATTCTTTTCGAATATTATTTAGTAATCTCTTGACTTTTCTTAGTGCACTTTAAGCAAACCCAGTGCCATATTTAAGCAAATACATAACTCACACCTCACACGCGACTCTTTCTGGATTGGGGAACTGATGGGGGATTGGGTCTGGAACCACTCCCTAACTTGGCGACTTTCCTAACCAAAAAAAAAAATAATAATATAACCGGCTCTGGGCAGATATAACTCTCTCCCTCGTTGGAGCTCTCCCTCTCTCTCTATCTCTCACCTTGCCTAAATAGGTAGAAAATAGCGTCAACTTAATTAATAAATAACATTTAGCACGTTTTCAAAACACGTAGACGCAGAAGAAAGAGGCAAAAACGAGTCCGTAGAGTATATAGCGCTATAACCACATTATTGGATGGATATACCGGGTATGAATAATCGGCATTTGGCGTTGATTTTTAGCATGGCTCGTGAGTCGTTAAGCAAATTTCTTGTTAACGAAATGCCCTGCGAAAGGTATACTGATCATCTCAGTGGGTTTGTTGTTTAATATTATTATTTATAGTTTTATCTTTTGGTAAATAACATTTGTTTTTCAATAGATCATAATGATTAAAAGAGCTAAAACAACCTTTTAATTAATGAAACTAAACGTTGACCCATATATTGGAGGGCATTGTTCAAACCTTTCGCTGATAAGGTGACCAGCTGACTCACATACATTTGTTTATATTTTGATAATAATGATTTGATCTAAGGGGGTATGATTTATGGCATTAACAAGGGGACTCAAGAAAGGGTTATCTTTGAATAAAGTATAATTCGTTTTATGTTTTTATTTAGTTCTCTTGACAAAAGAGAAAAGAATTTAAACATTATTAAAGAAAATACCAGGGATTTTCTGCAATATATCCCCTAAAACTAATTCATTTTTTGGAATGTGTTGCTCTGCATAAGTTACTAATAAAAAGTAACAGTGGGTTTTAAGTTTAAGTAAAACTGCAATATTTTAGCCCTAAAAAGAAATAGGTACATACAGTTTTGTAGCATACTTCCTGACACCTTTATAAAGGATTTAAAAACCCTTGTAGTTTCTGTCACCCATCCCTATATTTGTATCTATTATATAATAATATAATATTGCCCCTAGATTTGTAATTCCCAAACAAAATACACCCGAATTTAATACCACATTGTATTATTTCCGTTTTGTATATTCCCCTCCATCGATCTTTGCAGGGTATGCCCCTGACTGTAGATCAATTAAATTCTTTCTCCTCGATGTTCTTAACTATTTGACAAGCTCTTCATCGCCAGCCCAACGCAGAAGAACGTGAGCTGCGTTTGTAGTCGCTGAAGATTGTTGTTGAAAATTATATGAAGTTGGTTGTGTTTGATAGAGGGGGAAGGGGCTTGAGCATATTAATTAGTGCCTGGGTTTGTCGGGGAATCTTCCCGGAGAACTGAGAGAGAAAAAGAGAGTGTGTGTTGTGTGGTGTAGGCTCTCGCAAAACGACTCGAAAAAAATCGATTAGTACAAACAAACCGAGGGGCGAATAGTGCCCAGTTGAAATACAAACAGAGACGTTGGGCTCGCGGCTTGTTCACATTATAAACCTAAAGCTCCCAAAAGTCAGCAAACACACCGAAAAATACACACAAAAATCTATACATATATACATATATTCTATAGAGAGAGAGAGGACAGGGGTGCCTAAAAAGCTACTTATAAACGGACAACTGTGTTTTGGGTCTGGCATTTTGTGGTTTTCAGCAAGAATTCCGTATTCAGTATTTGCCGAATTGAGATGCGCAGCGGTTCGTCTCCGATTCCCTCAGTCTCATCTATATCTCTCTCGATATTCTCCCTTGAATCCGAATCAGTATAAACAACATTTTCGAGATTATTTATCGTTAGAAGCCGGCAAAGAGTTAATGTGATATCCGTATAGCATGGGCAATCGTTTGAGCGGCTTGTGGTGCAAGAAGACAACAACATTGAGTATTAACCACACTGATCCACAGTCGAAAGAAAGTGAGGATAGCAGGAGTTTCAAGGTTCGAAGGAGTCGCAGGAAATCGAGTGGCAGTGGTACGGGTGATGGTAGAGGCACCTTTCGCATCGGTAGTGTGCGACGTTTATCCCTGACCAATTGCGTCTCCAGAGATAATAATCCCAAGAAACCATTGTGCCCAGAGATCACAATCTCAACCGTAGAGAAGACCTATCAGGAGCTCACTAAACCAACTGATTTCGATTCCAACATGAAAGTTAATGCACAGCTAATGCCCACTGTCAAGGTGAGTACTTCCTTTTGGTTTGAAAAATCAGACAATCATAAAAACAATTATGTCATTTGTTTTTGTTATTTGCATCTTTCGGGTTTAAATAGCCACAGAAATAGATACGTAGCTTGCCGAGGTAAAAACAAAAGACAAACTTGAATTATTTTGATATGCTACCCAGTTCATGGTCAAATCAAAAACAAATTGTTTGAGTTTCGAGTGTGGAGTGTGTGTTTTTTTCGGATGGTGTCATTAGCATTAGCCTCTCAGGTGAGAGTGTGTTTGTGTAAATGCGGATGCTTGTAAGGTGTCGAGATTGGGATTAGTTGTCGTAATTTATGACCAGCATCTAATTGAAATTGTAAACATATTTTTCTGGTAGACCTTTTGTGAGAAGGGTTTCCATAAACAGGTGCTTAATGACGCAATTCAACCATTTTATATAGGTTTTTTAAGCTTTTAGCGTTCAGTAATGCCCTTAATAATAGCTTATTACTATAGTGTTATATACTACAGCAACTTGTTGAGAGTAAAAAGTTCGAATTAAAAAAGGTATTTTACAAATACCTCCAGTAATTGATTTTTAAAAGGAATCCAAAAAGAAATTCTAAAAGAATCATAGTCCAAATCTTCAAGGTCCACTTTAAATCTATTCCCACTGTTAAAGAACCTGAGAGCTATCATTAAACATATTGGTTTTCTACCATACTGTTATTTATCCGAACAAAAAGATTAACAGAGGCTGTTAAGATACGAATTGTGCTGTAAAACGCAAGAAAAAGCAAGGAACTCCACCTAATAAGGGCTTTCAGCCTTCTCTTTATTATCCAAACCAATATATCTTAAAAGGAATTTTATCTATCCCTAAAATTTTAAAATTTCGGGTATAAACCCTAAATAAACAGCTTTGAAATACAAATACAAAATACAAATAAAATTAACAAATGTAATATCAATTCTTACATTAATCTGTCCCCGGAGTCTTTGTTAATCAGTGAGAACCCCCTCAGATGCAGCATAAATTACTTAAGTTCATAAAACCAATTCTCTTGTACATTTCGATTTAAGGTCTTGTATCAAGGAATTATATTCCGTGGCCAACGCTCAAGTGACCCAATTCCGAGTCACAAATAAATCACAAAAATCAAGGGAAGTGAGAGAGAGAAGGGAAAAAAAACGTGTTAAGCACGCTTTGCATATAAATAAATAAACAATCTCAAAGGGGGAAAAGAAGGAGGATAAATGCATAAAAATCAATTACGCATGAAAATTCCAATTGAGAGAAAATAAAACGATAAGTCCGCGGACGATGATGAAGCGCATGCGTGGCGGGAAGAAGGCGTGGTCACTCTTTTTTTCTTCTTTATTATTATTCCTGTTTTTTTAAAGGTATAGTAAGTAATGTCTTAGATGCGAATGCAAAGCTCCCACGATGGTGAGTCAGAGCTGAAAACTCCTTCATTGGCAATGCGATCGGTGCAAGATGTTATTGGTGGAGAGATCCACAGCTCTTACCGATGACTCACTGATGTTTTAGGCGAAAGCCTGAATGAATTGGATACATAGATACACCAGCTGAGATACAGATACACAGAGACACGTAGTAAAGAAAATACGAATACAGTAAGCACTCGATATAGTGAAGCAAATTTAAGGAACATGGGTGAAAGATATATATTTTAGATATTGTAAAATTCATAGATACTTCCTCCATATACTTCTATATATCTGAAAACATTAATTACTTGGTTTAAGTAAGCATCCTCCGATGTGTTTCTATAATTCCCAATCGTTTTTAACATAAAAACTTTATTTCTTTTTATTTTAAAGATGCTTAAAAGTCTGTCATGAAATAAAATTAATGTAAGATTCAAAATGCTAATATATATAAAGTATATTGTTATATATAATATATATAACTATAAAGACTGCTGAATTGGTAATCCTAAAGATATTTAATCTAAATTTAAAAGTATCATTCAAAGAAGTTCAATTTCCTTTAATAAATAAACCAACAGACTCGTAATTTTTTCAGGATTCACACCGTTTTCCCACTTCTCTAGTGTCCCCTGTTAATTGCTTATAAACAAAAGTATTATACCATTTTGGCTTGGTTTTGCTGAATGGGCAAATGACTCAGTTGAAGGACTTGGCACTTGACAAAGTTGTGATTAACTTGAACATTTC